CTTTTATACATTTATTACCAAAGGTTTAGGTGAAATGGCATAAAAAGATTTGTTGGGGCTAATTTTTATGATCAAAGGTCAATAAAAGAGGGAGATAAGAGATGACGGGGTATGGTGAAATCTTTAGGGGTTTTCTTATGCTGCTTGAAAGAAAAATAGAAGGAGGATCTACCATGAAATAATATGAGGAATTAGGGTTCTATTCGAAATTTTCCCAAATAAAAAATCCATGAAAAGAACTTGCAAAATCTTTCCTTTTGTGTATCTCAATTTAAGCTTAAAACTTTTCCGAATGACATGTCATCATTTCTATATTAAGCTAATGAGCTATCACAAATGGTCAAAATGTAGAGCTCCTATAGAGTGGCCTCTAGTAAGGGTGTATCTATTATCTAATCGTTATCCTCCTCCATCGACTCTGCCTGGTTTGAAACACGACATGCTGCATAAGTATGGAAATCCACATAAATACAAATGGTGAAAGCCATAAGGTTGGAGAACACAATGTATTTTACACAAATCCAGGATAATGGTTGAGACTCCACCCATGTTTGAAGGTGGAGAGAAACAAATAAATGACACAAAATCAGGAAACCGAAAAATTGGGGAATCAAAGTTGAACAGGCAACAATTTCATATAATTCAATTGCTTTGTACTTTTTTTTTATCTCGTGCACAAAGTAAAGCACTGAATTTTCAAATTAAAAAATCAGATGGTTGGGATGTTCATAGTCCTATTTCAATTCATGTTTGGAAATTCAATTTCCCATTTCAATACATTCTGGAACTTCTGGCAAAAATAAAATAAAAATAAATCAAAAAATAAATAAATTTCCATAATTCTACTATATCATTGGTCACTAGGTAAAACATCAAAATTTGGGAGCAATAAATTCATAATCAAAAGAAGAAAAAAACACAATCCCATCAGAAATCATCAATGGCCGCCAAATTATAAACAATAATAGCCAAATAAGAAGAAATATAATACTAAAACTCATAGTAGAGGTCATCAGAGCTTTATTTCACATTATAAAAAACCCAAATAGAAAAAGCCAGATAGCATTGATAAATATCTACAAGCATTCCAAATTGCTAAAACGCAGGCTATCACACAACACGCCTAAAATCAAGTGAATTCAAAATGGTCAATTGCAATGTCATTCATACAAGCGGGACAGAGGAATTAGGGCAACCTGTTCGATGATGCTTTTCTTTGTAAGGACGTCAAAAGAGAGAACCAGAAAGTAAGCACCAGACATGACCAGGACCATGGCACCAACGTCCTGAACTCTGGCTCCAAGAGCCATATCATCGAAGGCACGAACCAAAAGCTTCATCTTTGGCCTAGGAGAAAAGAAACCATTTCTAGGGCATGGATGAATAGAGAGAAGAGGAGGAGGTTGCAGATTTATAGGAAAAAGAGGTCTATGGTTAAATGATCTCTTAGAGAGAGAATTTTTAGAGAGAGAAGAAAGTGTAAAGAGAAGAGGGGAAGCCCCAAGATAGTAGCAGGAGCAGGCCATGCTCTTAGTGTGTGTGTGGGGATGTGTTTTTAGAGAAAGGAAAAATTGGAACGAGTAAGGGTGAAAATTATTGGAAATCAAAAGGTTTTCAGTGAGACGTACACTGGAGTTCGAGTGATCTGTACTTAAATTTTCTTCTAAAAGAAAATTTACAGACATATAACACGAATAACGGTCGTTTAGAAATGGAAAACGGTCGTACGCTTCAGTCCCCCGAGGTATGATACACTCTAACTGTAGAAATGCAAATGGTGATCCATCTCAATGTCTACAAATGGGTCGTCCCTTTAAAAAATGGGTGCGGTTTGTTTGGAGCCTGGGCTTTAAACAATTCAATTAGAGCCTACCTTCAAATAGTATAGTGTCTAAGAATGTAATTTCAATACTAAAAATCTTTTTTATAGTCTTAAAATATATTTTTATATTTATTTATAAAGTTTTAAGCTTTAAAAATAATATCTATCGAGAGATCCATAAAAACTTGAACATTAATAAAATTGACGGTCCAAATATGCGTTATAAAGTACACTATTTTCAAAACTTGAAATCCATTGTTTTCTCATGTCCATGCATCTTGATGTTAAGATAATCAATTTGAGGATATTTGAGCATCAAAACAACCTCTTTTATTGAAAGTTTTGAAGTAGGCTCGAATATGATTATTTAGAGCCTCGGCTCTATATAAATTTTTCACATAAAAAATTAAGTAAAATATCATCAAGAAATTTTTAAACTTATTTTTTAATCTAAACAAATGGGTTTAAACTTATTTTTTAATCTAAACAAATGGGAGAACGACATGCTCTTTTTAAACCTAATCATTTCTCTCCCTGCACCTATATATCTCAAACTTCTCTCTTTCTCTTCGTGTATCTCGCACTCTCTCTCCTCTTGTGTTTTTCCAAACACTTGTCTCTCTTTCCTCTTGATAAACTCTCACATCTATGAAGCCTTTCTCTCTCTCTCTCTCTCTCTCTCTCTCTCTCTCTCTCTCTGTTTCTATAGAAGTTTGAGAAGATGGCTTTTAAAAAAAAATATATCTTTTTTATTTAAAAAATTAGGTAAAATATCATCGAGAAATTTTTAAACTTATTTTTTAATCTAAACAAATGTGAGAAAGATATGCTATTTTTAAATCTAATTATTTATCTCCTTTCACTTATATATCTCAAACTTCTCTTTCTCTTTCTTCATTTGTCTCTCACTCTCTCTCTCCTCTTGTGTTTTTCCAAACACTTGTCTCTCTTTCCTTTTGATAACCTCTCGCATTTATGAAGCCCTTCTCTCTCTCTCTCTCTTTCTCTCTCTAGAAGTTTGGGAGGATGGATTTTAAAAAAAACATGTCTTTTTAGATTTGTTTGGCTTAAAAAAACAGGTTTAAATTAGCTCAAGAGGATTAAAAGAAATAAAATCTACAATTTTTATACTTTAAGATATCTTTTAAAACCTTAGGTCTATTGTGAAATGAAACCTAAAAATATGAGATACAGGTATATTTTCTCAAAAAATTAATAGATTATTTTTATAAAATAGTTATTATTTTTTAAAAAATTATTTATTTTTATATCATTGATCTCCATATTGGAGTTTGTATGTTCCTAAACGATCCGGTCTAAAGTCCATTTCGCAAATGAAATTTTAAGAGGAGACTTATTTCGACAAATGTGTCCCAAAACTGACAGAGACCGTGTCCAAAAACCCTAAAAAGGAAATAAATGTTCCTTAAACCCAAATAGGTTGTCCATCTTAAAGCAAGTGTAAGTAACAGTCTAAATATTTTTTTGATATACTTTTTATTTTTATTTCATATTAAAGATTGTATATTCTTTAAAAAGTAGAATCAAAGTATATTTAAAAACTATATTTAGGCTGGCCGCATAAAACCCATGTCCTTTTTATATTTGCTTCAAATAGCCTCTATTCCAAACCTTGAATATTTGAAGTTTAAAACTTTGGACATAGTTTTAAGGGCAGTTTCTATGAGTCGGCCGACTCATCAATTTACATGAGTCCTGCCAAAATCTATTTTAGAGAGATTTTGGATTTAAATTTTAGGAAATAAAAATCTCAACCGTGATGAGTATGAATATATTTTTTAAAATAAATTTTTAAAATAAACAATTCAAAATTTTTGATGTATTTCTAATAGATGGGACAACCATTTTTCAGATGGATGTTTAGTGCATCATGAGATGCTATTGTGGAAGTGCATCCCCTTGCACAAACTACTAGCTCTAGTTTAAAAGTCCAAATATGTCTACTTTTTTTTTTCTTCGACAATTGTCCTTCAATGTCCCAAATTGCCCTATTCCATACCTTTGATTTTGTTTTCAAAGCACAACCTTCAAGGTCCAAAGTGTGCAGTTCTCATGTTGAAAAAACATCAACTTGGACAAGTTTGGAAGTTTTAAATTTCGGGGGAACAAAAAAAAAAAAAAAACTTAAAGATATTGAAGGTCCAAAGGTTTAAACTTCGGACTTTCAAGGTTCGGACAATTTGAAACAATAAGAAAAAAAAACTTTAAAAAAATATGATCGTAATATCAAACTTTAAAAGAGAATTTTAAAACAATGATTAATTTAGATCTCTCTCTCTCTCTCTCAGTAATTCAAAATCGATCAAGAAAAGGAAAAGTATCATTCAATGGGGCATGATGCGTTGCAAAATATCATGAAAAGGGACCAACATGTCTTTCTTAAGTTCTTCGAATAAGATAGACAAAAAGAAAAAATATCATTCAAGGGGGCATGACCCCTTGCAAAATATGGTGAAAGGGGCCCAACATCTCTCTCTTTAAGTTCTTCGAAATAGACCGAGAAAATGAAGAGTGTCCTTCAATGGCGCATGACCCCTTGCCAAATATCATTGAAGGGGTCAACATCTCACTAGTGGAAGAGTTTACTCCTTAGGATGGGGTTTCTATGAGCCTGACTCAAATGTACACTTGCGGCCCCCTCTAAAATCCACCTTTAATATGGATTTTTTAATCAAAAGTTTAGGTATCCATCATCTAAGCCAAGTTGATCATTAATATGGAAAAAAAATTTGAACTTTAAAACATGCTTTATTGTGGATGTCTTTGGCACCATCTACTTTTGATTTTAGGGGTGAGAATGGGTCGGATCAAGGTAGGATCCGAATCTGGATCCAAATAATATCTATCGGATTCGGATTGGATTTGAGTCCAAACCCTATTCTGGATATTCGGATTTATATCCGAATCCGAATAGTATACATTGGATCTAGATTCGGATTACTCTATATATACACTATTTAAAAAATTTGTATCATATAAAATGCAAGTTGCTATTTAAAAAACGGGTTGGATCCAAATCTAGATCTGGATTGGATCTGAATTGGAATCAGATCCACCTGCACCCGGATCCGATCCAAATTTCAATTCGGACCTGACTTTTGGTTCTGAATCCGTATTTCAAATCCAAATTTTGGGTCCATACCCAAATCCAAATAGTCCGAAATCTTAGTTTTGGATCCGGATTAAGTCATTTCTCAACCCTATTTGATTTGACCCTTTCCGTTTTTCATAGCGTATCTTAAAGATGGACGTTGAAGAGTCAACACGCTCTTTCACTGTTGGCACATGGAACAATTTTCCTACTTCTTAAAATCGATTTTACTTTGGAAAATTGTTTGTGTGGGCTGGATCGCATTTCTACATATCCGATCCAGAAAATGTAAAGCATCTGTCTTAAAGATGGATGCAAGTAGGTGTTTCATCTAAAAACAATGGAAACTAACGGTCCAAATGTTTTCTTCCTAAAATTATTATTTTTAGTTTTTAAAATTTATTTTATTTTTCATGTTTATGATCTCCATGTTAGAGATTACATGTCCTAAAAAATTAAGCCTTAAAATCCATCTTAAAAATAGATTTATTAAGAGGCCCATATTTTTACACATGCGGGCTTTGCCACACGGAAACCGGGTCTTTTTACTTTTGCAGTTCCCCAAAAAATACAAATGCTTGAATTGTATACATTCATGAGTATGAATTCAGAGGAACATTTTAGTAATTCAAAGGAACATTTTAGTAACTTGACTTCCCCAAGAGCTCCAACTAAAATACTCCTGTGTGATCAAGGGGGTTAATTATGTAAATAACCATTCTTATTCATGTTTGTAACCTTAGACATTTTTGAAACATTTTCTAAGAAGGTGCCTTGATGAAATAAAATTTAAAAATAAACATTATAATATTAATTAAGAGCGTTTGACCAATTAATGAATTTGACCCCCTGAAATGAAATTTCCCCCCAAAATAATTGTGCGTCACATGTAACACTCAGAGTGCATTTCACACAAATTCACCCTTAGATAATTATAGTCTAGCGCAAGCTTCACTTTGATCCAAGTCCCATTGAAAACAATTACGTAAACTTCACGTTATAAAAAAAAAATGGTGTGAAGGAGCGGTTCGGGACTTCCAGATCCGAAGACAAAAAACAGAGCCAAAGTGAGCGGGTTCGAAACTTAGAGCCAGCTGACTTGTCTGCTTTTAGAGTGAAGATCGGCTTGGAACTCGAAGTTTCAAACAAGTTGGTTTACTAAAACATTAGTTTGGAACTTGAAGTTCCTAAACAACACAAGATCCTGGTTCCAAACTTGGAGTACCAAACTGAAGGTATTATTAGAAAAATATGAAAACAGAAAAAATACATAAGAACCTAAACTATAAGATATGGAAGAAATTTTTTAAATGCCGCTAATTATAGGGGATATTAAAAAAAATTCTCCCTAAAATTTAAAATGGATATGGTGAATCAACATAAAATTCAAGTTGTTTGAGATAAGGACAGGGTTGGTAATGGGCTTGGGCCAGGATGTGGGCTTTCGAGCGGGCATGCGAAGGACTGAGCGCTAGGCTCGAGCCAGCATTGGCCTAGCCCAAGCCTGACCCGATTTTTAGAGCACATATTACATTTAGTAAATAAATGTTTTCCATCTTTATATAGGGTCCAAGCCCATGCCCATGCCCGAAACCGTGGCCACACGCAAAACTAGTTATGATGAATTCAGGCCTACCCAGGTCTGGGCCCGAAACTAAAATTTTGGGACTAGATTGGATCCAAGGCTACAATCCACGGTTTTGGGGCGGGCTCGGGCCAAGGATGGCCTGGCCCTAGACGGGGGTGTTATATAATAGGAAATCACCAAACTACTTTAATCTTTTATTAGAAAGTGACAATAACGTTTGTGGTAAATTAACACATTACGGTTTGATTATGAGCTTTATAGTTATTCATTACACTTGAAAACCAAAATGGTCATCCTCAGTAGCA